CAAACTGCAGACGCTGCAGAGCGGACGTGGTTGACTAGCAACCACAAACTGCAGACGCTGCAGAGCGGACGTGGTTGACTAGCAACCACAAACTGCAGACGCTGCAGAGCGGACGTGGTTGACTAGCAACCACAAACTGCAGACGCTGCAGAGCGGTCGTGGTTGACTAGCAACCACAAACTGCAGACGCTGCAGTTGTCGTGTAACGGCTGCTGGCTGACAGTTAAAGCGTCCTAAGTTAAGGCAATTATTCAATTGCCTTCAATTTCAACTATTTTGAATTGCCTAAGGCAATTCAAGGCAATTCTAAGTTATTGAAGCCTTATTACGGGCGGTAATAAAGCCGTGTTCCTCATCAAGGAACCACAAGGAGCCTGTTGATGAGTGTGGCCGACTAATCTCGAACAAAACTTTGTTCCAACTTAAACTATTATCGTAAGAGAAGGATCAAGATTTTACCCCAAATTCTCATTAGGACACGAATTTTCTAGTTAATATAGCATATAATTGCACACCCATAAGATTCTGATGAATTTGCCTAGATATTTATAATCATACTATCAATATTTATGCTAATAATGTGTATGGCGCTGTTGTTGAACTATTAGTAATATAGCAATGTATACTATATTCGGCAACACATTTATTGCGCCGCTACGAACATACAGATTCTATCTACTTGAGTTGAATACATTGTACCCTTTAGCTGCCTGCACACTACAATTCATTTATAATATTTAAAAAATTTAACTAAGGAGATATAAATATCAAAAAATTGTTGGATTAAAGTACACGGGAGAATCAGAATAGTTCGCATCAGAGGGGAAATATGGACAAGGAAGAAATCACAGGAGAAATGTACCAGTGAAAATGTTAGAGAAAGTGTAGGGGATGATGGAGTGTTGCAGCAGTATCCCTCTGGAACATAGCGTGCGCTCCCTCAGCAAATGCATCCATCGCTGGACTAACTAACCCATGGGCGTGGCGCTGGTGGAGGCACCTACGCAACGGCGAACTAAGTGTCGGCTGTACCGCCCGTAGCAAATGCGTCCCGTAGCAAATGCGAGCCCGTAGCAAATGCGGCTCGGTCAAGTATCGGTCANGGAGGCCCTGTCTCTTATACACATCTAGATGTGTATAAGAGACAGGGGGATGATGGAGTGTTGCAGCAGTATCCCTCTGGAACATAGCGTGCGCTCCCTCAGCAAATGCATCCATCGCTGGACTAACTAACCCATGGGCGTGGCGCTGGTGGAGCCACCTCCGCAACGGCGAACTAAGTGTCGGCTGTACCGCCCGTAGCAAATGCGTCCCGTAGCAAATGCGAGCCCGTAGCAAATGCGGCTCGGTCAAGTATCGGTCAATAGAGTCATCAGAAAAGAACAATTCACCCATATTAATTTATTTCGAAACTGCCACTAGCCTAGAGTAATGCATTTAGGTAGCAAAACGTTTATTGGGAGCGCTATGACCCGGCCGAGCGCTATGACTAAGTTCGCAAGGCTAAGTTCAGAGCGTCAGGACGATATCCAGACTGTGATGTTAGAAATTACCAGGGTCCATACTTCCAAAACTCGCTAAGTTAACGTAAGTGCTTACTCTCTATTTTCTTGTCTATGATTGGTGGATTTTGCTTGAAAGGCCGTCAATGATTGGCTGATGAACTTACGATCCTAACTTTTTTTGTAAGTATTGGCCCAGCACTGCAAACATTCGTGAGCAGCAGCAGTGGAACATACAAGCAACATTAACTGGAATATCGACTGTCACTTCAAATGGTGTTTAGTTAATATGATAGTATTCAATAGAGAAATAATCAGTCTTAAAAATTCTCGGCAGAGAACGTATATATACCTCGTACTATTTCCTCTCATGATTTCAATCAAAGAAAAATTTATAATGACTTATAATTTAAAAATTTCTAAAGAAAAATTTATATCAGATTTAGAAAATCCCAATATTAGATTCTATAATTAATTAATCACATTTTTTAAATGAATATGTATGAAAATTAGATTCTAGAATTCAGTAATCCCTTTTTTAAAAGGAAAAACTTTGAAAATTATCCGAAAGTCGTTTTCAAACCCCGTAGACTAATTTAGTGCGCATACTGACCTCGTGGTGGGAGGGTGTGGCTTTAAAGCTGTTCTGCAGTCACGCGATGTGTGAAGTCAGTGAACAGTTACTTAGTTAGGCAATCCATCGTAGCGCTTACAAGTTTATTCCTTCTTTTATGTTGTAACGACTAATCTGTTGTTCGTGTTCACTTTTAACTACAAATTAATTAACAAATTTTCCGATATTAATGTAATGATTTTTTCATTAATTATAACTATTTCGTGAATCAAAAACTTTATTATTTATTTACCGAAAATTATCAAACGCTTACTTATGCCATCGCAAGTCGATAATCAAAGAAAATAGCAGACAATCCAGACATTGATGATCATTTCAGTAGCGTCCTATCTGCTGGACGGCGTCGTGTGTGAAGCTCCTCTGTACCGTGGAACTAAGACCGGTCGGTGAACTAAGAAAGTCAGCCTCGCTGCACTTGCAGTAAGGTAAGGATTTCTTTTCCTATGTGGCTAATAATAATCGGATGTGGATATTGTACTGCTCATGATATACTTGGAATAATCTCCATCTCGTCTGATAAATGAATAGTTTTCATTTGTGGTGCTAACGATGGAACAAAATTATGAAAATATTAGTAATATTTTACTACAGTATTGAATGAATGCTAATTTTCATTTAGGATGTTGAACTAGAGCACAATCACGTTGAATTAATTTACAACTTCCTCTGATGATTCACGCAATCATGGTGTACGTTCACAACAATCAATTTGTATTTATAGCTTCTGTTACGCTGGAAACTGCTTGCCGCCAGACTACGTTTCTGTACAAGTTAGCTACCGTGTAGTTACCAGTTAGCTTATTAGACACAGTCTCTACTTTGCTCTTTACAGTCTTCAGATATATAGTTTAGTTAGTTCACCAGTTAACGTTTAGCAAGCATAACGTTAGGCGTTAGTCTGAGGACTTGCTTAGGATCGAAGTCATAATATTCTACTAGTAAACTGCGGAAATTAAATACGGTAATTGCCTAAATAAAGTGCCGCTTCAAAGTGTGCTTGAGATTTGAATTTATTTGAAATAAACGTATTCAAAATTATTGGAGCGAAATTGAACTTGTGATACATGACTTTTTCTTCCTTCAGAGCTGATATTAGTTGAATTAGGTAATAATGACAATGAAATAACGTGTAAATGCTCCTATTTGGGCATACACAAAAGCAATTCTGAAGTAACAGTTAGTTAGGCGGCAACTTTCATCTCTTGCCTCCATGTTCTTCGTCTGATACAGCCGCGTTACATTTCCATCATGACTGAAATAAAATCCAGAAATCAGGGTTTACTTTTACATTTCAGTTCACAGCCAATCACGCCGTATCAACCCATGGTGGCATAATTAGTTGCGTTACTATACGATCTGTAATAAACTGAACGAAGGAATTTCATATTTTTCAGTTGATTTCCGTGCTCAATCGTAGTCTTCTTCGTCCTCGTATTCCACTTCAGGGAGCTCAGGAGTGGGAACCTGGAAATGAAATGTGAACGAAAGTCGATTATTTATGTTTATTACTAAGTAGAATCATGTTAACTAGCAGTTGTTCGTGGTACAGATGCAACGGAGAACAAGTTTACTACAGTTCATCCGAAAACTCAAATAAGATGACTGCAAAAAAATTAAGGCGATTTCCGTGTAAAATAACGTCTCTTCAACAAGGTCACCAATCATATGATCTCAAAATGGCTACTTATTGTCAGACAAGCATTTTCTATCTCATTGTAAATACCCCAAAATTTCGATGTATCAAAACAATCTGGTTTCGTGAATGCATTTGGAGTTAACACGCTGATTAAGCAACATTGGTCGCAGTTACCGGGTTAAGCGGCAACGCAGGGGGCGGATGGCAGAGCAAGCAAGGGTCAGCACAGGGCTGTCCACACGGCGCCTCGGCCTCGCAAGGACACACACGACACTGAAGGTGCGGCGCACTGAGGCCACGCAGCAGGAGAAGCGCAGGCAGCGCCAGCGCCTGATCCCTGCGCGATCGCTTCTTGATGCGCTCAAATGCGCGCAGCGACCAAACTGAACCACCCGACTGAGGGGCAAGAGGCACCAAACAAATGAGATGAGAACTCAGTTCAGTCGATGGACTACAATCGTCTTCAAGAGATGAGAACTGTGTCGTTAGTATCATTGGATGAAGTTACGGGGACGCTTGAAAAAACCCCTCCACAACGGATGAAAGGACAGAAAGCAAGCTATCATTGAGTGCATTTGCACCTACAGCTCAAACTACGGCGGATGTTGAATACTATCGATAAATTTCACAAAACAAGAACGAATTTACAAGCAAGATGGACGACTTAAGGTGCGAAAAAGTACACTTGTGAGGCGATCGCCAAATTGTTCACAATTCTAGTTGTTTCGTTCAGTTATTCTGTCTGCCCTAACACTGTCAAACAATTTCATGTCTAAACTACTGAAATATCGGGAAAAGTATTACGAGGTCTAACCTGCTGGTATGAACTGAGATGTCCGGCAATTTTTGTAACCTAATCTTAGGCCTGAAGTTTTCTAACCACCACTAAATTTGCTGCATCTGGGTCCAAACGTGTAACAATTATTATCAACTATTGACTAGGTATAAAGGTTATTCCATACTTTCTAACCTACCTTCTATTTACTAGAACACTTACTACTTACAATAACATATCTAGATTTTTAGGGTGTTGTCAAGAGAGATAGCACGAGTCCCAAAGCAAGCCTACAAAAACAGTTGTAGCTACCTGGCATCCGATATATGAGGTTGATATCGTTTTTGCTTTTCCCTAGACAACCCCAATCGACCGACAGCGTCTTGCTTCTCTCTTTCTAGACCAACATAGTATTGCTCACGCGAGACGTCCGGTTGAAATGGTACTGAAAATATCACAGACTAATTGAACGATGTACTATGTACATTGTACATCATCCGACCTGCACAGCAAGCTGGACGCAAAGGTTGTTGGTGGGTGGGGCGAGAGCAAGGCGTTGCTCACGGTTACCCCGTAGTCTTCTTTTCCGTGCGTGAGACGTCGAGTAGAACACCTCGGAGTTCAGACCTGGGGGCAGAGGAAATTGTGAGGAGCAAACTAAACGTCAAAATGGTCTCTATGGATTGTTAACTTTCCATGAAGACAATCAAACTCAGTTTCTCGTCTTCTATTATCAGAACTGTAGGATTGAAATGATGGCGAAGTTTTGATAGCTTGAACATAAAACGCATTTTATTGTACTTGGCTTAGTTACCGTACCTTCTGCCTGGTTCCATCTAACTCCAGCCGTATACGTGATAAATATCTTTAAAAATCAGTTCAACTGAAGCTGATGATTATAAATTTACTGGAGGTGTAGCTCTAAAAAAAGCTGCTTTCACACAGGGCGACAAATACCGCGCGCGTCAAAAATACCGCGGCAGTATTTGCCGCGCAATCTTTCACACGGGGCGGTTTTTAATGCTGGAATCTATGTCTTGCAGTGCTGTTCTTCGCAAGTGGTCCTGAATGTGTCTATTAATGGCTGCTCAGAATAAAGAAAAGAAGAACTTGCTGTATAAAAGACAGCAAAGGAAGAAAAGAAGGCGGTGCTGGATTCACAATATAGTAAATTTAAGGCCGCAAGACGGAGAATTTGCCACACTGTTTGGAAGGCAACGTTCACTAACTTGTCATTACAAAATTAATTCATTACTCATTATATTCATTAACAAGAAGAAATGAGTTTAATTATCTTTACCTCTTTTAGTAGCTGGAGCTGCATACACCCTCGCCGACCCACTGTCTGTCCCACATGAGGTAGGGGCGTCGGCGTGAAAAACCGCCCAAAACCCATGAAAAATTACATTGAATACCATTGCAAGCTAAACTGTCGCGGCAAATCTACCGCCGCAGTTTTTGCAGGACACACGCGGTCGTCAGGCGTTAAATTCTACGTCGCGTTAAAAGCCGTCGTGTGTGAACAGCAGTGCACATTTCTTATGTCCGCTAAGGTTTGGCGGTAAATACCGTCGGACGCTGGCGGTATTTACTGCCCCGTGTGAAAGGGGCCTTAGTATGTCAGCCTCGGCAATCTGCAATCTCATGTCTCTTCGACAATTCAACGTCTTGCTTCTTTTTAGAACACAGCAACCGAAGCACTTCTCTGAGAACAGCGAAACCTTTATGGTCTAAATCTCTATTCAGACGCCACTTCAGGGTCCCTGAAACAGTGGAAGCTCTGTTCCCGCAGCCTATGTTAGCCTGCTTCGACGGGACCATCGGAGTGCAAGTTCAATGAAGCATATACTAAGATTATCCCCAGAGTGATGCCGTCTTCCAACGTTACTTTCCTTTCGTCTGAGCATATTATCTCCTGCATTGCGTGAGCTGAAGTATATACTAAGATTATGACAGGAGGGATGCTATCTTCCAACGTTACTTTTCTTCCTCTGCAGGAGCATATTATCTCCTGCATTGCGTGAGCTGAACTTTGATCGTAGTATCTTTGTTACATCCAAATATCTGAATAAATCAGTTATACTGCTGGTATTTGTACTAACTTATATTGCAACCTACTATTAGGTTAGACATTATTTTCAACTTGGTGGTCTAACACTGCAATATAATTGGTGTCACTGATACCATGATTTCAGTGGGTGATACCATTTTACCCGATCCTAGATTATCTGATCCTACGAAGAGCAGTTATCGTTATTTCCTCTTCACGTAGTACTAGTGTCAATAAAGCCATGCATTTGAATCTGCACAAAACTAGTAAGTACGGCTCCTCCATTCTCTGGAATTGAACGCTGAATTACCTGGTGCGGCAGATAACTCTACCACACTCAACTGTCTGCGTTTGGTTGGGTCTTCACTTTGTGGCAAGATAGCAACATCAAACGACCGTTTAGCTATTAAAGTTGATAATTGAGGTAAAATTTACTTAAAATTGGTATTATTAGGCAAATAGGTCTAGCACGAATGCTACACAAAGTTACTATCGAAAAAATATGTAAGCCAATCGCTGCGTGTAGTTGACTAATTTTTCCGACGTGATTCTAAATCTAAGAGAATCTGACACTTATAATCTACGTGATTAGAAGTCTAAATGATTCTATTTTTTCCGATTGATTTTTGTGGACATATCGAATAAATATGATTTGGAATTGCAGACATAAATCATTAGGTGTGGAGCTACATATTTGTCAGCTCACTACATGAACCGTGTGGCTAGGTGGGCTAATCATCGCCAGGTCGTCCAAATCGGATTATTTTACGCCCAATTTGGCAGCAGGTTCTTATAGATACAGAGGCAGCGGTAGAGCTGGTATGGAGCACCGCTATCTGGCACACGACGGCCCGGAAATCGGAGAGAAGCGCCTCGTCCACGATCAAGGACTGTTGATGAATAAGAGATGAGATGAGAGGCTGAACCGATGATCACAGTCTTTAGAGCCTTTGTCATACCTCTCCTTGAATAGTACTGCCAACTCAGGACCCCTGTAAAACTCGGCTCAGTGCGGCAACTGGAAGGAGTCCAGTGAACCTTCACTTCCATTAGCAGTGGGATGGAAGAGTTAAACTACTGGGGGAGGTTGGAGCGCCTGGGCCTCTACTCACATCAGTGGAGACGAGAGAGGTATGTCATTCTGTACACATGGAAAATAATGATCAGGAAGGCACCTGTCACCTGATGTCTTTGCCGCCTGTTTGGGCATCAATTGTCCGGCTGTGTTCGGGAGCCAGAGTGAACTGTCTTCTCTTACATGGATTACAGGATGAGGTATTATTACAATAGTTGAGAAGGTGGAGTTAACGACACGATCGCGAGTAGGACAAGAGGGTGCCGGATAAGATAGACGTGGTGGATGCGTTTAAGGTAGGTAATTAGGCTGCGATGGACTGCAGCTATGAGGTGTTGGTCTATGACTGACTGGTGGTAAACTTGAAGAGCTTATATAGAGACTTACTACAATGACGTCACGGAAGGTGACGAGGGATACTACTGACAATAGATGGGACGAATCCGGCGAACATTTCGAACAAGAGAAACGGCTCCAATGATAGTACTTATCGAGGTATCGCGCTCCCCATTCTAGATAGTACTGCTGCCAGCTTTGGACGTCACCAAAGGCGAGTGCGGTGCGGCAATTGGAAACAGTTCAACGGACATTCACGTCCTGGATGAACGGATGAAAAACCTCGACTACTGGGACAGGTTAAAGCATCTGGGACCGTACTCGCTGGAGAGAAGAGGGAAATATATCTATTATACTTTAGAAGTGAAATATGACAAACAGACCGGCTCCAAATTTTGTAAAAAAAGACCTCCACGATAGTGACATTTCACAACGAAAGGAGGGGGAGACTGCAGTGTGCAGGATACCTCCATTTAGTAATCGAGCTGCGGCCAGAGTTCATATACTTCGGGAGGGATCTCTTTCCTTACTGGGCTCGAAGCTGTTCAAGGCCTTGCCGAAGTAGATTAAACTGGGAGGAGTGCACCCTTGAGATATTCAAGAGACAACTGGATATGTTTTTGAGCACTACCACTGATCGTCCGGTTATGGCTCACTACCTTTTGCATCAACTGGCAGAAATGAAAGCAGACCCACGATACTAATTTTTAATGTTACCTCCAGGCCTAGGTGGCAGGGCGACCGGCCTATCGACGGCTGATTAAGTTATAGAAATTTATAGATTGAAGATTGGTTTTATTGTTATAATTCAATTATTGATCGGCAAATGCTTTAATTCAGTCAGGTTGCGACCGTAGCGTCGTAGCCTTTACTCGGAGTTTTCGCGTTTATAAGTTCTCGTGGAAACAGGTTACGGCAAAAGTCGTTCATAGAGAGGGTTGCTATGAAATACTGGTACATTTAATATTAAACTAGTAAATTGAAGTTTACGGATGATATAATTCTTGCGCAGTGCTCGATCTTGAATGTGCAAATTGCCCTCCTAAAATAATATCGTTGAAGGCCTTGTTGTCTCTAGTGCTATCTTACGGCTAAGTCACAACCGTGGCAATCAATGATGACCGTACAATTAAGCGAAATTACGGCCGTTACTCGTCATCTTCGAACATTTTTATATAGGAGTCGTATTGGTATGAACGTCTCGAAGATCCGCACGGGTGTACTTTCTGACCCCGCCGGCCGACTGCCGGGGCCGTCACCTGCGTCTGCGGAGATGGCTGCAGACCGTACTGGCGTGACGGTCAGTAGAACAACCTTTTGGCGCGAATTTTAGGATCCTTGGATAGGCAGAAGTCGCGCATACACAAGCTTGCCAAGGACGTCGCGACAGTATCGAGTTCCTCAAGAGTCGGCCCTTTTTATACCTTCGGCCACTCCGAACTATAAACAAACTTTTTTTTACCCAACTTTGCGGTGAAATCGCATCCTGCCTGTAATTGCTCAATATCGCTCGGGCCTTCTTCGCAACTTTACCTCGTAAGTTATGTTTAATATTAGAATATAAACTAAAGTCAGAATATCCACGCTTTATTCAGGCTTGTGGGCGGAAGACGACGAGGGCGGCACATCAGCGCGGCCATGGACCAGGAAGTCATAAACTTGACATGAGGACGTAAGGAATGCACGCGGCCGTGCGGTTCCAAATACCAATAATGCGGTTTTAGGCGTAGCCGCAGTCGCTTTTCGCATTCGCTCTGTCACGGCGGGTAGTGTCACCGCAAAGAATGTCTCACAGTCGGACTGACCGTTGATTTAATGCCGAACGGAATTATGATGGAGTCATAGCTGTTTTTATAGAAAGATTTTTATCGCTCTCATACCGGAGTCGTATTTTAATGAATGACTGAAAATTACTCGTGGTCGTTGTTTTTGGCCAACGGCCGGGACCATCACCTTCGTCCGCACAGCCAGCTGCAGACCGTACTTGCGTGACCGTTACGTCAGGAGATTAGCCTTTGGCAAGAATTCTAGGGTCCTTATACTGTATATGTAGGCATCGTGCACACTTGAGCCTACCGAGAACGCCACGCTCTGCTGAGCTACAGTTTTGAGTTCACTTAGCGAGTTTTGAAAGTATGGGCCCTGAGCTACAGTTTTGAGTTCACTTAGCGAGTTTTGAAAGTATGGGCCCTGAGCTACATAGCAGTTTCGAGTTTCTTAATGGTCTGCCCTCCCCTCACAACGGCCTCGGCTGATACAAAATATAAACAAAGTCGCTCCCACGGTTTGTTACCCCAGTCTTGTGGTCAAGCCGTATCCTGTCTTTAATTGCTAACGTCGCCTAGACCCTTCTCAACTTCTACAAAAACCTATGTTCAATATTATAATATGCAATTATTTCAGAATTGCCTACGCTTTATTGGCTTTATTGCTTCGTGTTAATCAATAAGGATGAATATCCCTGAAATTATTTTAAAAATCTAAATCAATTATTTATTCCAAAAATGTGTCATCCATCGAGTTTTGGGCCAACCTAAACCGTGTTAGAATAATTGGTGATTAATCCAAATGCTGGTACAGCAACTGGATAAAAAGTCCTTAGATAAATAGGAGCGTCCTGTTAAATCAGGCGCAAACTAATCAGATGAGGGCAACCTAGCGTTGATTAACCTAGATATCCAAACTGTGCCGATTAATTCACTATCTATGCTACTTAATTATGTCCCTAAGACCGAGCCGAGAGCTAATAGTACATGACATACCGAGTATTTTGCGCCGTTCACGTGCTGGCACTTCGTCTGGTTGTGTGACCACAAAGTCGTCGTGGGTGAAAACGTGAAGCTGCAGCCCCTGCTGCAAGAGGCTTTTGAGCAACGCCTGCTGCTCCTCGCCACTCCAATACGAGTTCTTAAAATGGAACCAAACCAGTTTACTTTCACTATCATGCGACTCAAGCGATATCTTGGCAGGTTACTCAACACACCCTTATATGCTGCTCAAGTAATATATAGGCAGGGTACTGCTCTCTCACTCTATATTCTATAACATGGGTGGAGGCTCTAACACTAACACATTCTCATCCTCTTAACCAGTCGCCAATACTCCTCCGACTTACTACCGCTCTGACTTTCCGCCGATATCTTGACAAGATTCACATCACTCTGACCTGCCGTTGACATCCCGGTAGGTTGCAGTCGACCACCACGAGAACCTTGAGGGCGTCGTTGGAGAAGACTGTAGATAGCGCCACCTGAATGGAATCAAGCGCGGACATGCGCCAGCTGCTCACAGCTGATGACATCTCCACCACCGTCGCAAGCGAACCGTCACCCAGCACTACTGATGTGATCTTCACAGGCCTGCAACAGGCCCCCAGAAGCTCGTGGCGAAACTATAGTCGACTTGTTAAGAAGAGGCATCAAAACCACCTTCAATGAGCGAGAAAAGCTATTCAATAGCTATCTAAGATATCATGAGAAGCTATGTCATCAGTAAACTAGTACAACTGCACATCATTGCTAAACTTCCAGATATTGATATTTAAATAATAATGTGAATTATCGTACCATGACTTTATTTAATTTAATCAACCAGATGTTAGACATCTTATCTGATTTGTGTCCTGAATACTGAAAACCGAGAGGCTCGACTCACTTCTCTGACTCCTCCATGAGGTACTCAAGCAGAGGGTCCAGGCTGAAAGTACAGCTGCTGTCCCCAAGTACCACCACTTCAAATGGGGAGGCTTGGGTACCATAGACTTGTTTTGGTACATCGGAGCACTTGTTCTCCTGTCCATCAGGAGACGAATGGACTTCTCCGGCACCGCTTTCGTTGAATGATGGATGGACAACTGGCTGTTCCAAGGTGACGCCTGATTGTGTACGTTGGTCAGACTTGGCCTCTTGATTATCCATTGGAAGAAACTCGTTGATTAATCGGCATCAACTCATTTATGAATTGACAAGAACTTCATCTTAAATTTTTACATGCAAAAAATAGAACTCTTCCGGCCCGATCATATTGAAAACAAATCACAATAAATTCCCGCCTAAAGTTGGAGCATGATTGAACATGAAGTGTCTTTTCATGGCCTGGCTGGTCATGACTCACAATGCTGTTCCTCAACTCCAGAAGCAAGCGAATAAAAAAGAATGAACGACTTTTTTTAATTTATTTAACCGGGCAATGCATTGGCAAAAACCGTTTCGTGGGCAGGGCCTCGAGTTTGGATAAATCGAGCGATGGGAGGCAACGCTGCCGGAAGCACTAATGTCGTAATAAAGCTGTCGGAAGTCTGGTTTCAGCCCCAATTATGATCGATTGACATGAGAATTTCCCTGCAAACATTGAATCATATCAACACTCACGGACACACCACGTCCAACACTCACCGACACACCACGTCCAACACTCACGGACACACCACGTCCAACACTCACCGACACACCACGTCCAGAACTCACCGACACACCACGTCCAGAACTCACCGAAACACCACGTCCAGAACTCACCGACACACCACGTCCGACACTCACCGACACACCACGTCCAACACTCACCGACACACCACGTCCAACACTCGCCGACACACCACGTCNACCAGAATGTAGATAGGGACAGAGGGAATCTCATTAATCCATTCATGCGCGTCACTAATTAGATGACGAGGCATTTGGCTACCTTAAGAGAGTCATAGTTACACCCGCCGTTAACCCGCGCTTCGATGAATTTCTTCACTTTGACATTCAGAGCACTGGGCAGAAATCACGTCGCGTCAACACCCAACCTGTCTCTTATACACATCTAGATGTGTATAAGAGACAGCACCACGTCCTACACTCACCGACGCACCACGGACACACCACGTCCTACACTCACCGACACACCACGTATACACCACGTCCTACACTCACCGACACACCACGTTCAGAACTCACTGACACCGGGCACACGATGCACCGCCTCATTCAATGTGCTGGCCACGACTCACCACATTCAGGCAGCGCCGCGTTCAGGATGTGCGGGAAGGCCGCGGCGCAGGAGGCGCGGTAGGCGAAGGCTGCGCCGCACCGCCGGGCGGCGTCACCAGCGACGCACGCGGCGCTGAACGGCGCTGCGGCGACCATGTGGCGGCACACCCTGCGGGGGCGGTGACAGTGATGGGTGATGTTAGTTCGAATGATGGGTGATGTTAGTGTGGCAGTGATGGTGATGTTAGTGTGGCAGTGATGGGTGATGTTAGTGTGAGTGATGGGTGATGTTTAAGCACTGTACGTCACTGCTAGATGACTGCTCTGTACTGTGGCTGCTAGTCTCAGTAATTTCCTGCCATTTCTTTTTAACCAGCGTCTGTACGTCCCGTATATTGATTAGTACAATTATAATTCTGAATAAAGTGGCTCGGTTATGTATTTGCTGCGTACGTGCGATAACTTTTAAATAAATAACCCACAAAATACGGGAAATGTACGCGCTAAACGCGCTTGTACGTTCTAATTTTTATATTGTAATGCATTAGTCAGTTCTAGTTTTACGATGAATGTCCCATCAATGAATGCGTTCCCAGAAAAATTTACAGACGCGGCAGCTTCTGATTTGGATTACCAGAAGCTGGGGCGACTCTAAATTTTGTTAGGAAGCTGGGGCGACTCTAAATTTTGTTAGAAAGCTGGGGCGACTCTAAATTTTGTTAGGAAGCTGGGGTGACTCTAAATTTTGTTAGGAAGCTGGGGCGACTCTAAATTTTGTTAGGAAGCTGGGGCGACTCTAAATTTTGTTAGAAAGCAGGGGCGACTCTAAATTTTGTTAGGAAGCTGGGGCGACTCTAAATTTTGTTAGGAAGCTGGGGCGACTCTAAATTTTGTTAGGAAGCTGGGGTGACTCTAAATTTTGTTAGGAAGCTGGGGCGACTCCAAATTTTGTTAGGAAGCTGGGG